GAAATACGGTCGAGGATGCCTAATTTTTGAAAAGAAACTTGATTAAGGCAATGCAAAACTTAAAAACACAAAGGGACTCGAACCTAAACCCGCATGAACTTACGAGGCTATCGCGCTAGCCACTCCACCACATCTTTGCGGCGGTTTTGGCATTTCGACCACGTCTTCTTTGGCGCGAAAATCCTTTATAACTTTTTTGCGAGAAACGATTAGCAAAAACGGAACTCAGATTCGGAATCAGCGCTCCAAGGCGAGTCTAATGGTATGCATCTCATCTCAAACGGCCACGGACACCAAATATCGTTCCCTTGTTAAATGTCCTGTCGGATAAACCTCATGGGCTGTTGGGTCCTGTCGCAAGAAGCTTATGGGTCTGTCTTTCGCTAGAGACTAAATTCCCTGTGTTTTTCTGCTTTTAGGGGCAGAAGTATTTTTTTGCGAAGTCTAAGGGGTCAAACGCCTTGGCTAAAATGTTTGTCGCATGAAGCTCATGGTTCTGTCTTTTCCTCGAAACCAAGCTATCTGTGCTGTTCCGCTTTTAAAGGATGAAGTATGGTTTTTGCAAAGTAGAATGGCCAGAAGTAAATTTCAAGCAAGTTTTTATATAATCATTGACGCCCAGAAAATTCTGGCGAAGATATCTTGCTGCCTGATGCCATAATTCTTTCTTCCCTCGAGACCAAGCACCCTGTGCTTTTCTGCTTTTAGGAGAAGTGTGGTTTTGAGTTTGTGGTTTTTGCGAAGTTTAGGGGCCAAAAGTTTCAGTGAAAAGGTCCCATCGGATGACGCTCATGGGTCTGTCCATCCCCAAAGACCACTTTTCGGTTCTCAGAGGCGGAAGTATGGTTTTTGCAGAGTAGAAGGGACAGAAGTAAGTTTCAAGGAAATTTCTGTAAAATTAGATGCTCGTAGAAATTCTTAGCGGAAATATCTTGCCGCTTCAGTTTATAAGCCTTTTCTTCCCTCGAGACCAGGCTCTTTGTGCTTTTCTGATTTTGGCAGAAGTAGGATTTTAAAAGGTAAAGGCTGGCCAAAGTGAATCTATAACAACTTTGGGTAAATTTATCGTCTTCGTCAATTCCGAGTTTAATTATAGAATTCTCAGCATGCTCACTTACCCCAGACCAGTGCCATCTCAGTCTCGTAGCTTCAGCTTTGAAAAAAAGATGATCAATAAAAATAACGGGTATTCTCAAAAACGGTTACTATCCTTGCAGTGAGCGTGCTCACGTACAACTTTGTGCCAAACACCAGCCGTGTATCTCTAATTTTACAAAGAATAGAAAAATCGAAATTGGTAATTGATAACCTGTAAAATAAGAACGTGTTCGTGAGCAGCATACTCAATTAGCTGCCTGTAACACATCGCCGTGGTTCAAACATTGCAAAAAATCAATTAAACCAATAAAAGTTATGGGTATTTTCTGAATTGGTTATCATATGCGTAATCGGCATGCTCGCTTGCTTCCATGTGCCAACTCCCAGCCCCGTAGCTTGAACTATGCAAAAAAACGACAAAATGATAAAAATAACTGATAATTCTAAAAACTAGTATTGTATTCGTAATCAGCATACTCGATTACCCCCTCGGTCAACTCCCAGCCCCGTAGTTCAAAATTTGCAAAAAAATCGATAAAATGATCAAAGTAATGGGCATTTTCAAAAAATGTTATCATATTCGTAATCAGCATGCTCGATTACCCCCCTGTGCCAACTCTGAGCCCCGTAGTTCAAAATTTGCAAAAAATCGATAAAATGATAAAAGTAATTGATAGTCCTAAAAACTAATATTGTATTCGTAATCAGCATGCTCGATTACCCCCCTTTGTCAGCTCCCAGCCCCGTAGTTCAAAATTTGCAAAAAAAATCGATAAAATGATTAAAGTAATGGGCATTTTCAAAAAAGGTTATCATATTCGTAATCAGCATGTTCGCTTACCCCCCTGTGCCAACTCCGAGCCCCGTAGTTCAAAATTTGCAGGTAATCGATAAATTTGGTAGAAGTAGTAACAAGTTTCCATACTGGAAAACGACAGACACGAAAACACCTTCGACCAGAAAAACACAATCGAGGACGTACAGACAGCATGCACCAGCGTACAGACAAGTACACCATTCGGTTTTATATATATAGAAGGATTACACTTGCTGCTCCTTGAATACCATTCATGGAATCTTTGAACATCCAGTATTTTTAGAAAAGTTCTGAAACTTGTAATCTTTTAGTAAAGTTGTAATCATACTAGGGCTAAAGGTGTTATAAACGGTAGCGTTACAATATTATTCGGAATGACAGATGTTTTGTCGATTTCAGTGCTAATGCAACAAGCAACTTGTGAAATAATTTTCCCCTATGTTTTGTAAGGAAGCTCCATTAAACCGTTGAGTCCGAATCTTATTTGAGGTGCCAGTCAAAGTGAAATCTTTTTTTGTTTTTATTTCCAAGAGCATGATCAGAATTTTTCGGTAAACCTCAAATTTCGACCTGTGGATCATCGAAAATTTCATGACTTCAAAACATCATTTGTTCTTATCAGCAACATGCTTAGCACTGTCGGGTTAGATAATCTGCACAACTTTGGAGGTTATTCGTTAACTTCGGAGAAAGAAAAATTACTTTAAAGAAAGGCGCCGGGGATCATCAGGGATCATACAAAAGCTGGAAAATGCGGTATGTACAGCTTCTCGCTCCTGTTCAACACGTTCATAGTGAAGGATAGTAGGAATACTTACGGATAGGTACACAACGTGAAATCCAGGTATCTGGAGTTTTGAAATATAAAGCTTTCTTTTAAGCTGCGATCCCTCCCCAGCGAGGTTAGTGCATGCGGCCCTTGGTTTTCAATCCTACTCGAGCGTTTTTTTTTGCTTATGCATGATAAGAATTAAACACTGGAAGTGACTAAGCTGAGCACTGAATGCCTCTTTGTATGAATTTTTTATGCTCCTGCAGGCGCAAAGAGCCGTCAAATCTTTCGTCACGATCTTATAAATGACGTATACCTGCCGCATAGCAGGAAAAATCAGGTCGGACAGTCCCGCCCCAGGGCGTAAGTTTCCCAGCTTTCCGACCACATTTCTTGGTGGTCAAGCATGATGCCTCGCACTTGCGCAATGGCGTATCCGAGGAGCCCCATTTTTGCATGGCACTGAAATCTCAAAACCCCTACCTTGCCCGGACTGCCTTTGAAGCCACGATTTTGCCAAGTTACTTTTTTCATCCAACAAAACTAGAAGGTGATCCATGACGATTTACAGCGCTTAGCGATACGAACGCGGCATCCAAGCACCTTTCCATTGAAGGCAGCGGCTCGGCAGAATATCGTTTTCCAGTTCTTCACGTTTTCGGAACCTTCTCGCCATGAGAAACCCATATTTGGGCTTTTCAGAGCATGAAAATGGCAAAAATGAGGTTTTTCCAGCTTTCCAGGTCAGCCTTTAGTGCAGAAGTGGGCGGGGCTTGGAACGAAAAAGGCGGGCCGCGGCTTTTTCGGCTTATCTTCACTGAATGCGGACCTAAAAAGCTTCAGAAAAACCGCCTTTTTGCCATTTTTATGCGCTGACCGCCGGCCGCTACGCCCTAAGACTTCGTCTCAGATTAGCCTTTGAGATATAAGCTTGCAATTCTCGGAAATTACTCTTCCTGTGGCCGTATTCATCAACGAAACCCGTAGGTTCCGGAACCCACTGGATAGTGCTTTTGATGGATATCCATTCTACTCCAGGGAAGAATCAATATCCATCAAAAGCACTAACCCAGTGGGTACCGGAACCCACGGGTTTTGTTGATGAATACGGCCACTGGACCGTACTCGTCGGACCCAGTGGGCTAGCCCACTGGGTTACCGGTATTTACAGCCGATGGATAAGTGAACCCCAATAGGTTAAGACTACCGCTTGGTAGACTAACCCACAAACTGCCACCATAGCGGACGTTTTCGCAATTGTTATAGAAGTTTCATGAAGAGCAATGGATACTGTCATATGACGACATATTAGGAACATCATGTAACTATTTCGACTTCAAAGCTTTTCTTTTGATGAATTTTCTCAACAAGATGGATTGCTAACCTTACTAGCTACTCCACCAAAAAATCTAGATACACGAACGGATTTTTGGAGAAAAACGAGATTTTTCTCCAAATGAAGTTGATATTCTTGATGTTTTTGCTAACAGAAACGGTCTGCGTCCCAACATTTTGGAGAACACTTGCCCTTCAACCCTCCCTTGGCGTAAAATGAGGTGCGGTTTGTGAAGTCGCACCGCACTGGTGAATGAAACACTCAGACACTCGCACCGGCCGGCGGCCGCACAAAGACCGGCTGGCGCGACCACATGTCATTGCATACAGTTGCGTAGTCTACGCCCGCCGGCCGGTATTCGGACGGGCGCCGGCCGGAAACGTACGGCCGCCAGCCGGTGTATACTGAGGAACGGTAGAACTGTTTTACATGGTAGAACTGTCTTTTATTCACTGGCATATAGGAAAATACACTGCAAAGAACAGAAATCAGGGCCGCTGATGTAGCAGCTTCGGAGACCACGTCCGATTTTGGAATTCGACAACACCGAGATACTATCGAGGGTTGTCTATAAGACAACATGTTGCCTTGTTCCTGCTTCGGAAATTGAAGAACATACAAGGCATTGAGGGTAGCCTAACCATGCGTCGTATCTCACGCAAGTCTCCTTTACGCTAAGACACTGGGAGATAGAATTTTGGGACGGTCGCCGGCCGGCATGATCTTTTGGGACGGTCGCCGGCCGGCATGATCTTTTGGGACGGTCACCGGCCGGCATTTAGCTCCGCCCAGATTTATGGAACGGTCGCCAGCCGGAAGGCCGTCGTCGGACGGTCGCCGGCCGGTGCGAGTGTCTGAGCAAAAAAAGCGGCGGCGTATTAATTTATTCGGCACGCTTTCTTCCTGTCAGACATGTGATATCAGTAGTACTTGTCCGTATGTGTTTGTCAACACATTCCACCTCAAAATTTTGGCAAGGTTTGAATTGATTTTTCTTCCAAATCGTTATGCAAAGGGAGGAAATTGTTGATCTCGTCAATTACCATGAGCCGTGTGTAGTTATTTATCTCCCATCATGTCTTGACAAAAACTCACCGCAAGTTTCAGATCTTGTATAGCTGCCTCCAGCAGTCTCAAATCTGGTCTACAAATGAGTGACAGTCATGTGTTAACTTTCGTTCCTTTGATGCCTTTTGGATTGATAGGAGGAGATGGAGGTGAGTGTAGTCATATTCGTTTGGTAGACATTTCTAGTGAGAAAGCATGCAATTCCAAAGGTATCACAGCAGTCAGGGAATGGATCGCTCTCAAGCAGAAAGCACTTGATTTAGCTGGGATAGAACGACCAAAGTGCGAGTTTGGGTCTTTTTTGCAGGGGTGAACTTCATCTCTTAAAGGCAGTGCCCCGGCAAATCCTCGACCTGAGGTCTTTTTGCTTACCTGGGGTAATTCGACGCGTGATTCCGAAAATACACTTTGAAGAGCACGAAAATGTCGAGAACCCATTTTCCAAGGCTACTCATTTTGAATTTGGACCAGTGAACCAGTGAACCAACCCTCCCTGCCATAGTTAGAGACGTAGAGTCGTTGCGGGACCCTCACGTTCATAGCACTGCGGCATGCCGCCTCTGACGGGTGGGAGGGGACCGCAAGCTCGTCCGACCGCGTGTAAGAATGGCCTGCGCGCACGGGTTTAGAGGCAGTTTTTTAGGCAGGGGCAGCATGCAGTGAGCTCGGACCTGCTTCGTTGTGATGTTTGGGACACAAGCAACCTTCCATATCAATTTCGAGATGTTTGGTTTTGCCAAACCACTGCCTTCAATAGTGAAATTATCGACTGCGCACTATAGAACTTCAGTAGCAAAAGGGGGTGGAGTTACTACATATCGCCAAATCTGGGTGTGCCCTGCCGGACTTCTTGCAAAAACGCATCTCCAAGCATGTGCAAGGAAACGTTGTTGCAATGACTACAGGGGCCGCCTCTTTCGGCGACATATAGTCCTCTATCGCAAAGGGGAAAGGGTAGGGACAAACGCCATTGTGTGCACGGTCTGTGTCTCACAGCTAGAGGCTTTTCCAAAGATAACACCGCTTCGCATGTCTTTCGTGCTTTGCGCTGCCTCGTGTCGTCGTATAAAGCATTCTTACCTTGGTTTATCTGCCCGGCGCTCTAAAGGCGGCATATACAGGGATTATCAAACGCTGTCGCTTGCATCAGCATCTCCACTCCCCGCTGAACTCTGCGTCTCTTCCGCGAACATGTCTCCGATCACTTTCTCAGGGCGAGCATGGGAAAGGCGGAGCCTCAGTCGATTGGAACTGGTTGGAGTGCATGTTCGTGGAAGAGTCGCAGAGTCCAGCGCGCGAGAGGGGATACCGAAGCAAGCGACACTGCGTTTGATAAGCCCTGTAGGTGAACCTATGGGAGAATCACACGAAACAGACTATATCTACACTGTCGTAGTAGTACGCTTTTAGATTGGCTGCGTAGCGCGAGAAGCTCGTCGCCAATCTATCATCTTCCCATGAAAGCTATAATAGTTGATCAACTTGTTTCGTCTTGCTTTGTTGCCCATTTTCCCGCCTAAGGCCGTGGGCAGAGTTCACGTGACTTCATCGTCGCGATTCATCGCGACAAGACGAATGTCACCAGTTCATTGCATGCCTATCTTCTTGTATCATACTTCGGTTGTAATAGTTAGTCACGATTAGTCGTATTGGAGAACTATCACAACCAAAATGCAAAAAGATCGACATGCAATGATATTGTTACAGTTGTCTTGTCGCGATGAATCGCGACAATGAAATCGCCTGAACTTTACCCGAGGCCTAGTGGAGCTTCTCACAACCCTTTCTAGCATGGCTTACTTACTGATCCTGTAAGGACTTCATACGTAGACCTGCTTAGTAAGAAATCATCACGTTTGCAAGGTTGGAGAAGTATGTATGTTGAAACAGAAGTTTTCGGAAAAGTGCCGTTGACGGTGGTGTCTCACGTCGTCAACAGGGTCAAGCGTGGGGTGCGGCACGCCACACCTGGGGGGTCGTATTGAGGAGTCAAAAGGGGAGGGAATCGTAGTTGGGTAACCTGATAATAGTGATAACATGATATTCGTCTCATATCCATAATTAGCATGTCAAGTAACCCCTGTAGACAAAGTTTGAGCGAATTCTGAAGATTCAAGACACTAGGTTACCTAAGTGAAATGGTCATATTCCAACATGGTTAACTTTGTTTCAAAGGTGATTAGCTATCCGTTTTTGCACTCAAGACAAAGCACTACTCCTTCTTTGTCCATCTCAAAAATCCCGCTTCAAAAGACCTCCAAACCATCGAATTAGAAGCCAACCAAAATCTCATTTTTCGCTTTCAATGGCTGTGCTTTCACCAAATATTACTCAGAGCTAAGAAGACGAATCAGGCTTAAAACATTCCTATGGAATCTACGAGGTTTAGGCTATCAATTCATATAAATACTGTCCGCTAAAAATGTTTTTTGATATAGTTAATGGGGTGCGGCACACCCCCTTAAAACCTGCGGCTGCCGCAGCTTTTGAGGGGGTGTGCCGCATCCCTTGCCTTCAAATCCAGAAAGCGCTCCATTGCTGGTATGAGTATTGAGCACATAGCTTCTTCTTGCTACATTGGAAATTTGGAGCCGAACGCCCCACCCATAAGAAAATCATGGCTCTTTCAATATGCCCATTCAGATCAAAATCAGCCGTCAAATTACGTGTGATTGTAAAGTGCAGTCACAGAAAATCGGGCGTACAGCTCTCAGAACTCTGAAAACTCTCTAGAAAAAGATGGTGTCCTCCAGAATGTCACACTTTGAGGTCCAGAGGTTAAGAGGAGGAAGAAGGGGTCGTTTGAGGGCTTTCTAGGGAGGGGGGGGGGGGTTTCGAAAGACTTGTGTCTGACCTCTTTCTCAACTCTGGTAATGCTATCTTAGGTATATAATTCAGGGGGGGGGGTCTAATTAAGACAGCAATCAGGGGGGGGGGGGTCGTAACCAGCGATCGTGTGCCACACCCCTTGCTTGACCCTGGTCGTCAATGGTGCATATACAGGGGCTTTCAATCTGAGTCACGATCGACGTGGTTCAGATCCTCGCAAGCCGCCTCGCTTGGGTCTCTTACGTGGCACACTACCGCATCCGATACCCCGAAGACCTAGCTGATGCGATATTGTACCACGTGAGAGACCCAAGCGAGGCGGCTTGCGAGGATCTGAACCACGTCAACCGTGACACTCAGATTGAAAGCCCCTGTACCTGACAAGCATCTGAACGTCAGTAGAAGCTGAAGTCATATTCTATTAGGTCGTTCCGAAAGTAATGTCGCTTTTTTCAAGGAATCAAGATTTTCAAGAGTTCTTAGAAGCATTCGATGCAGCATTTCATCCTCTTTCTAAAGGTTGTAATTTAGTTGCAGAATATTCAATGAATTCTCGAAAATTTTCCAAAGTCTGCGACTCATGCTTTTTGCCACGGTCAAGTTCAGCTATTTTTCTAAATTTTTGTACCTATTTTCAAAGGAAGAGCAAGTGGCGGTTAGATAGAGCAAACTCTATAGGACACAGATTAATTGTTTCTTTTCTTTAGCTTGCTTCTTAGAGTTTCTGGAGTCAGTTTTTCAATGCCATCAAATGTCATATTTGCTCAACTCAAACCTCACAGAACAATAACCGGCAGGCAACTCGGGTGTCATTTGACGCAGCTTTTTCTCCTCTCTCTACTGGTTGTTTTTTGTTTCCGATTCATCAAGTTTTCTGGGATAAAATCATCATGATGCAGGTTTTCCAGGTCGCCCTAGGCTGTACCCGAAATTTTCTAAAGTTGCTAATCTGAAGCGGTGAAAGCTCAGTCGGTTTGTAAAATTAGTGTCGAACCATAATTCATCTTTGAAAGTTTCAAAATCCGAAGATTTGTTGGTGTTTGATGCATTTGTATCTGAGGCGAGAATGTTAAAATTCGGTGGTTCCATCAAAAAATCTATACAAAAATTATGACGAACTCTGGAAAGTAGAAAAAAGTAGTGCTGTTTCCTGTAGGGTTCGCTCTATCCATCCATTACTTGGACTCCTTTCGAGGGTTGTTATAAAATGTTGGAAAAATTGTGAAACTTGACCTTCTTAAAAAGCATGGGTCGCAGTTTTTGGTAAATCTTCAAGGGCTTATTGATTATTATGCGATGCTTATATAACCATTAGAAAAAGAATGAAATGCTGCATCAAATGTTACCAGAATCTCTCACACGTCTTTGTTCTACGAGATGTGGCGTACGTTTAAAAAAAGCGACATTACTTTCGGAACGACCTAATATATCTCGAACCGACCTCTCTTAATGGCATTAGCTCGCAAAATAAGCCCCTGTCAGATTCTGGTGGAGGGGTAGACTCTCCAAGTACACCAATTCATCCCACTCCCATCTCCACTTCAAGGGCGAAATCTTGAAGTTCAGTCTGAAAGCCCACCAATGACGCCTCAGCGGGAGTATAGGGCCCTGCAGGATCGCGAGAGTCGCTGAGTTTGCGGCCACTGCGCACACTGGATGCCAGAAGGCCCCACACCTATTGAACAACCCCGTACTTTCCAGCATCGCTTCAAGTGATTGAAAGCTAACATCTGAAGCAGAAAAGCGCGAAAGGAAAACCAAAGCCGAGAAAGTTCAATGCGCGAGCAATAGCCGCAACCTCACCGACTCTCGCGATACTGCAGAACTCTATAAGCGGGACTGTTGGGCTTCACAAGTGTATTACCAGGAGGTTTTTGGAGGTCTACTAACTGACACCGCTACAAGCTCCCAATTTGCCAAGCCACCGCCTTTGAGGGGTTAGGTTTCACCTATTAAAATTGAGCAAAGCAGCCTGTGTGACTTAGAAGTCACCTCTAAACATAGCGCAAGCAGCAGGATTACACCGCGTAGGGAGAAACTTATCCAAGGCGTTGCTAGCAACATTTTCGTTGCTAGCATTTTTTCATTTGCCTAAGAAGCTACACTAGCTTTATTGGGAGTGGCCGATGGAGGGCGGGGCTTCGATCGTGCCTGGGAGATGTAGGCTGCGTTCATACCTATCCCGAAGTCCGGGAACAATTCCAGCAGAGTGCTCGAATTGAGCGCTGTGCTGGAACTGTTCCCGGGCTTGGCATCAGTATGGACGCAGCCGTAGAGAGAGCACGTTCGCAACGGAGATGCAAAGCCCTGAGCCCCACACATTACCCGCCACCCCAGGGTACAGAGGGTACATTACTGAAAAGTGCTGCAGTCTGCCTTTTTAGGGTCGTATTCGGGAGAAATCGACCACACCGCTTTTCTCTCCGACAACATTGGCTCATTGTTTCTCAATCCAGACTTCTCTGATGTTGTATTCAATGTGGATGGGGAGAAGTTTCCAGCACACAAAGTGTTGCTTGCAGCACGCAGTGAATACTTCAGGTAGGAATTTTTGATTCGAATTTCACCTTGATTATATGTGAACTCTCAGAGCTATGCTGTACGGAGGCATGAAAGAAAGCGATGAGGGGGAGATAGTCCTTAATGAAACAAGCGTTTTTGCATTCCGAATATTGCTGAGGTAATACTTTGCTTCTTATTTTTAGATTGTTCTTTTTTTTGCAAAGCAAAGATGTTTTAGTTGATCGCACAGTTACCTAGTTTAGTTGCTCGAGATATTAGATACTGCGTCTTGTAGTTGCCCTTTTCAGCTTATCATATCAGCTACCTTACTTCTTGCATGGAATATCTTACATCTCCTACATAGTTTCTTTTCTCATACCAAGAGTTATTTTAGTTGATTATGAGTACTTTTGGATGATCCAGTTGATCAGAGCATCTTTAGATACATATACACTGCGAAGCTGACTTTGCTTGAGTTCAAAGAGGAACAAGTGATGGAGATTCTTGGGCTTGCTCACAAATACGGATTTGTAAAGCTTCAAAATGCCATAGCTGATTATCTGAAGGTGAGCTAGTACTGTAAATGCTGGCATCGTTATCATCTCTTTCTTGAAAAAAAAAAGTTATTTAGGCAATACTCAGCATCAGGAATCTGTGCACGATCTTCAACATATCACAGCTCTACTGCTTAAATGACCTAACTGAATACTGCCTGGTGTTTGCAGATCAAAATGCATCGGACGTGTTGTCAACACAGGTATCTATCTCATTCGTTTTCTTGTCATGATATGTTTTCGTAACGAGTGGATCCTTTTCATTTGTAAGTGCTTACACGAAAAATTGGGGGGATTTTTTTATGCTTAACACCAAGTCCATTTTAAGTGTTCAGTAATGTTTCCTTCTATGTACTCCAGGTTCACCTTGTAAAGTTTTTGACGACGGCAGCGATTTTCTGTTTCAAGTGTGTCCTTTTAGAAGAGACTATATTTTTTTTTCTGTTTTTTAGTCTTCCTCATTGATTTTGTTTTCCACTGTTTGAGAGATTTCTTGTATTCTAGGGATTCGTGCAGTTGTCCCTAAACGCTGTCACTCAGTTAATAGCTAGAGATTCTTTCTGTGCTTCAGAGATCGACATATTCTGTGCTATTCGAGATTGGGTGAAAGCGCATCCAGACATGCAGGTGAGGTACATCGACACATCACACACCTTAATTCGCGTTTCAAGTCTGCCGCTGCCGATGTACTAACGAAATGTTTGCGCCTTTCGCTGATAAGCCAGAGAGATTTGTTGAATATTGTGCGCCCGTCTGGTCTATTTCCTCCCGACACCATATTAGATGCTATCGAAGAACAGACGCAAAAACGGACAACCGACCTCACTCATCGCGGTTTTTTGAGTGAGTCAGAGCGAATAGCATTCGGTATTATTTTTTCCCTGTTGACATCACATGCATTCCGAGTCCCTTTTAGCTCCAAATACGAACATCGCGACTGCTCAGCTTGGCGCTATCGTTATTGCCGGTGAAGCACCAAATGTACTGCTCAGTGAAGCTGGAGGTTTGTACCAAATTTTAGCTCTAGCTATGGTGAATCATCTAGTCTTTTTCTTTTTCCTGCAATCATTTTCTAAATTATTTCTCAAATATAATGCGGCGCTGCTCAGAATATATGACTTAAACGATCTTCATTAGTTGGGCTAACCCTTCTTTGCAGGTATTCCCCAAGATGGTGATCGTAGTCTTACTCGTCATGCTATTGGAGATGAAGAAGGAATCATCGTTCAACTTGGGCGACCTTACATAATCAACAAAATTATTCTGCAGTTATGGGATCGCGAGACCAGAATGTACTCGTACTATGTTGAGGTAAGTCGTTGCAGTTGATGTTATGTTAATTTTACTCTGTTAATACATCCACAAAGGTGAGCATGGATCGTCGCGATTGGGTACGTGTGATTGATCATTCGAAATATCTCTGTCGTTCACGTCAGACTTTATTCTTCGAGTCTCGAGTTGTCAGGTAAATCATTTCAGCCTTTAACAAAACGACAGCGAGACAGTATCTTGTCCGGTTTCTTATTGTCATTTCTTCAAGATATATCCGAATAGTCGGCACTCACAACTCTCAATCCAACCGCATGTTCCATCTGGTTGGACTGGAAGCACTGAACTCATCTGATGAGTTCCACATCGATCCAAAAACGACGTTGTTGAGTCAGTTTTCCCACTTACAATTTCGAGATAAATTTGAATGGATACCTTTTCAGTCCCAACAACAAATGTTGCAACCATCGAAAACAACGCCTTGGTCATTGAGGGTGTATCAAGGTGTAGAAATGCGCTTTTGAATGGGCAGGTATGCCTCAGTGTAGTAAGCCATGGAGTTTTGCATAGCAAAGTCGTTTAGACCACTGATTATGATTGGGACAATGGTTACACTTGCCATCAGCTCAACAGCGGCGCGATCACCGTGCAGCTGCCTCAACCATACATGATAAAAACAATGAGGTAACCAGCTACTTTACATAGATTATTATTTTCAATATCTTGTTTCAGATTGTTGCTGTGGGATTGTGACGATCGTTATTATTCCTACTATGTTGAAGTATCAGTGGATCAAATCAATTGGGTGAAAGTGATTGATCGAAGGATCAAGCAGTGCAGGTATCTCATATTTTATTGAAAAATGCAGAGTCAGTTGAGAAGCTTGCAGTATTATATAAAAAGTTGTTATAATTTGTTCCATCCTACACATAATCTTATCACTAGTCATTTCAATATGAAAGGTCTATTTTCACAGTTACGAAAGTTTTTTTGAGAAAAAATCAATGGTGTGTACATGCCTTCACAGCAATTCTTCTTGGCTCGGGTAATTCACTGATCCAATCGGCTTGATTTCGTGTCTTCTCATGTGCAGCTGAAATACTGATACAATTGTTGCGAAAAAGTTGCGCTGTATGCTGTATTTTATGAAGCGTTTTACCTTTGCGCAATCAAGTTACTTAGTGGCGTAACACTAGGGATTTATAAAGGTTTGTGGTTTTGGTGCGGTTTTTGAATGGCACTCCTTTTTCACTCTAAGGTAGATCTTCACTCAAGAAACGGAAAAGACTGTGTTAGTTGCAGAGTATATAGCTCATTACCTAGTATGCTACTTTGGGAATTGCGTATTAGTTGTGACTTAAGCTGCGCCGCATGTCTCACAAGCTTCGACTTGCCCATTCAAAGCTAGTTTTTGGAGTTTTCTGATATAAAGTCTTGAAAGTTTTTCCTCACCTGCAAATGGTCACTTCTGGCAAAACATCGCGAACATTCTGGGCATCGAAACGGTTTTGCACCAGTATGCTTGCGATAATGTCGCGTAAGTTCGTCGGAGCGCGCAAATGTCCATGAGCAGTTTGGCCATTGGCAGAAATATGGCTTTTCTCCTGCAAATACTCTGAATTCGCACGGGATCAGCTATGGAGAAGATAGTATAAATAGGATAGCAAATTCCAAAAGTCATATTTTTTTTAATGAAAATTTGTAGTATTTCAGTGCACAGCAACTGGCTGATAACAGTGGCGTACCCAGGATTTCGGCTCGGGGGGGGGGGGGGGAGGCGGCAAAAATTTTTTTAAATGAAGGTGCGTGGCGTCAGCCACGCACTCCGAAATTTTTTTTAGGGAGGCTTCTCAAAATTTTTGCGGGCCCCCAACCCCTAAAATCTGGAAAAAGGGGGCGTGGCGTCAGCCTGAAAAATTTTTTTGTAGGGTTATTTGAATTTTAAAAATTTTAAAAATTATTTTAATTGTTTACAAAAATAAACAAGTCACTTGCACATTTTTATAACTCATGTAAGTAAACTTTAAAAAATTTCGCGACCCGTTCTCGGGGGGGGGCCTCCCTCGGTACGCCACTGGTTGATAACAAGAAGCCGAAGTCTCACTATTTTCTTCATGCTAGTGCATTGCGATTTCGCACTGCTTGATCGATTGACTTTGCATCAGCCAGAGTCGTGAACTTATAGAGCAAGAGTGTGCGAATTGAGGCAAGATCGATTAAGATTGGAGCTTCCGCTACAGTCTGTCCCAATCGGGATCCGGCCAAAACATCGGCTTAGACCTGCGCGCTCGCAGCGCTAAGGGCTTGCTCTGCCTATGGCACTGTCGAAGAGAGCGGAGAGGGTGAAGAGAGCAGACAAGCACATCGCAGATGTGACGCAAAAGCTTGGCGATGCGGACTCCCGCCATGCCAATTTTGACCTGATTGGGCTTGGGATAGACTGTAGGGCTTGTATAAACTAGCTTAGCTTCGTTCTGTTTCTTTCTTTCGCATGAAAAAGCTTCAAATCAAGCTTCACAACTTCAAAAAATTCAAATTTTTTTTACTTCTGGTTAACGAAAGTAAGCAAGCGGAAGGGGTATGGTCAAGCGCCAGTCAGTCAACAGTCGTCTTTTGGCATGTCAGTCCCGTGTCTCCACCCATCTTTGCGGCGATTGGATGTTCTGCGCTCGCGTCACGCCCAGTCAGCAATTCTCGATATGAAGGGAATTTGCAGCAGAGCAGTTTGAGAGGCCATCAAGCCCTTTTTGGGTAAATGGTCAAGAATGATAGAAAATGAAGTCGAGTTTCTGCTAAGACAGTGCCTCAACGTAAGCTTTGAGCTGAAATTCATCTGCAAACTAGAGCTGTACAATGTGTGAAAAATTTATACTTTAAAATTTTTTTAGTACTAACTGCATAAGGAGGGGCCTAAGATGGCGAGCGAGATCTGTCATTTCTCAACCATTCAAGGACAACTGTTGATGTGCTTTTGCCACGATAGCATAAAGCACCATTATCTTCGCGGAAATTTAGCATGAAATAGGAACAGACTAGCAATGATTCCCCTCATAAGTTCGTATAGTTGCCAGATTCAGATAGTCGGTTTATGCTCATATTTTATCGCTGGCGTCTTCAACAGTGCATCGTAACGTTCTGCGCTAAGGTCACTCGCCTTTGCTGTTGCCGCCTATTTACAGAGCACGAGGCAGTTTCCGGATTGCGCTAATTGGATAAGGATAAGTGATAGGTGTATGCAAGAGGAGTAGTCTTGAGGTGACAGTGAGTGAAAGTTGTATTTTTGGATTATTATGGGAAACCGAAAGTTTGCTTGCAATGAGTAATAGTCTTCTATGTAGTCTTCCTGTCAAAGACAGAAGTCCAAAGAGCGAGAGGAAATGTTCAAAATTGAAGGTGAGAACATCTTTCCCGTGCGAAGCCAGCTTCACTGACGAGATTCTGAGAAATATGACAGAGTTAACATACCTGTATGAATTCTCTGATGAGCTTTGAGATGCGAGCTTTTTGTGTAGACTTTATTGCATCCGGGCTGCTCACATCTATGCACTCTTCGCTTGTCCAAAGCATTTCGGTCACGTTTACTGTTTTTGAAGAAGTGTAGAGGATTTAGTGAAGATGGCGGAAAGTAGACCTCAACCAAATTCACATAGATGATTATCAGAGGCAAAGTAAGCGATGATCACCTTGGATTCGATGTGGGGTGGTAGGCGATGTACGAAATCAATTTCCTCTTCGGAGCTCTCGCTTTGTGATTTTGAACAACCAGAACTCGTTGACATAGGTGGTGAAGGTGCGTGCGAGATCCGGAAGTTTTGATTGCTCTATAAACTTTCATTTGGAGGGCGATTTATAGAATTATTGGCTTACTTCATTTTTTACCATGGCATACTGGCATGTGGGTCTCTGTTCTCCTGCATGAGGCACGGTAGTGGAGTTGCAGTAGCGATAGTCTGGGAAGCGGTTTATATAAAATGAATTGTGATGGGTAGAATTACATTTACGTACCGTAGAATTCACCATTGGGTTGTGGAGAATGGCAAGAGTTACTGGAACAGTACATGCGAGTCACTCCTTTGTTTGGGTAGGTGGGGGTTGTCTGAAATTTCTTAGCGGGTTATCATTCTATTTTTTACGGTTGCGTTTGAGACGTTTGAGAATTTGCAAGCTTGGAGATATTCGATCATATCTTGGGACATCTCGCTAATTTCAATAGAACCAAACATTTGAAGTAACATCGAATGCGGGTAGCATTCTAAACGATTCAAAAGTAAACTTGAACTGACCGCTTCTGAGTGACCATAAGGCTGCGGTTGCATGCTGCAGCTCGGCAAATACATATCTGGAAATATTTGCTTAGAAGATGTGAAAAGACGCGACTTTTTATGGCTGATGTTTCGATTCCAGACCTTGCATAGTCTTGAGTCTTTACGATAGGTAAAAGAATTATTAAATTCTTGAAAAGGAGAAATCTTAATTTAAAAATTTAGTGAACGGTAAATTTCGAAGAAAATTTGTTTTAGAAGAAGGTAATGAATTGTAAGATTGGAATGTAGGAATAGAGGAATATGCATAAGATATCTTGTGACTTCACACAGTACACTGCATTGTTGGCACGTTTTTGAGAAACGGAGTCATGCGCTGGAAGGTGTTTAGTTTTCGGATCAACGCTCTAGATGACCAAACTGACCAAAATAGGACTTTCGCTGTTTTTGAATAAGACGAGCGTGATAGGCATTGTCTCTATTTTTGGAGAAGAAAAGTCAAAGAAATTTAGAATCGCTTGAACTTCATAGGTACTTGTCGGGACTAAGCATCTATTGCATCTAATAAGCTAATACTTTTTGACAAATCAGTGCCGTAGTGAATTTCCAGTAAAGAATAACCTCAAAGAGATAAATTCTCGAAGGGCGTGAGAATATCCTTAAATAGCTAAGCGCCAGGGGCAAAGATAACTGTCGCAAAGCTGCATGAGATCAAAACATTCGTAAGTGAATTGTCGGTTGATTACGAATGCCATGAATTATCCACTTAAAATTATGAGAATCATGGTTTTTCTTAGTTACTGGATCATTGGCAATGAAAATGCTGTGGCGGTAATTTTGGTCCTAGATTCTCACATAACTTGATTTCAAAGAGAAAAAAGTCAGTAGTCCAGCTAGAAAAAAAGTTGGAGCAGTTAGAATCTACCGAAGCAGGCAACCGCTAGGTGCGGTAAATTTACCCAATGACGCGCGGGAGACTACTGTATCGCTGACCTTATGAATGGGCGTGGTGCGCGGAGAAAAACACAGTGCGCGAAGAGTGTGCAAACAATAGTGATAAGTTGTCATATAGTTGTCGCTTGGACAGTATGTTGTGGATTATTTCAGGCCATATAATAACTAAAGTTATAAGGGCTATTAGCTTATTATAACAGCCGAGAATTCTCTGCATTTCCATAGGTAGCATCACAAACATTTGGAAATTGACAACTGTTCAATATGGTGTTTTCAGAATGAATAAAATGATAACAAAGTCTGCTTGTATGTTTCGGAATCAGTCATCTACTAAGCAATTTACTACTCAAATTGGACCCTTGCTGTTTGGGGTTCATTGCAAATTTACGTTCATCGTTGCGAAGTGTTTGGAAATTTCTTTTATTCTTCTACAAAAAAAAATCCTTGATCTATGAATTTTGGATGGGAAGAGCTATCTATCTAATATATAAAGAGACGTAAGCGCAATTCAAAAATTTGCAAATAGCGGGAAACCGCGTGGCGGTCCCGAAGCGAACGCTTTTCCAAATAGCACCTTTAGATTACTGGTTCACTAGTTTGCAGCAAAAAAAAAAAAGAATTTCAAAAAGCTTTCTAGGTTGTAGACATGTGATCTCTCGCACCATTGATACATTGACTTTATCCGCCTTACAAAGCTGCAAGTGGCTTTTCCTTCATCATCCATTTTACAATATCACTGGCTTTCTTGATTTTACCAGAGGCTCTGAGATGCGGCCACTTTGTTTTATTTAGACTGCACATCAGTTGTTCATCAGCTGCAAAGCCGTATTGTGAATTTTATCCTTAAATTATAATGAAACAGTTTTTAATAGAGGAGGAGCTTTTTGAGCTTTATTTGATTTACGTCTTCAACTGAACGAGCTATCTGTTGACTGATGTTGCACTTGAACAAGACAAGTTATTAATAAGTCGCTCTTTCAGGAGCTGGCAACTTCTTGAACTTCCTGCAGCTGTTCCTGTCGTGTTTGTGAAGATTGTCGGAACCCACAATTCTGCCAACGAAGTGTTCCATTGTGTTCATTTCGAATGCCCAGCTGACCCGAATGCTCCACCAGTCGATGAACGGTCGGTACTGCCCAAGGACGTTGTTGCTGAAGAAATGGAACAGTAATGATACAGATTCTCCTGCTTATTCCTTGCCGCTTCTGAATCCCGAACTCGCTTGCTGTATATAATGGCTGATGTAGATAGGTTTTATCTTTTGTTGTATTAGGACATGGGTATCTGGAGGTTAAGACTATCCCGATGTGACCACCACATAGCATTTTACCATATGTACCTATTGATTCAAATTTGTGCAAGTCTTGTCATATCGCTTGTCAATGCAGCTGCATCTACTTGGCCCAGATCATCTCTCAAAGACGATTCTCTCTAAACCCGTTGTAATAGTCAGTTTCATGTGGTGACCCTAAACTGGTGTAAAATTACCAATAAATTGCTGGTTTTATTTGGATTTTGTAGCTCAGCATTAAATAGAGGTGATGTTAGCACCTCTGCCAGATTCTAACCAGATTTTGAAGCTTGGTGTTTCTAGCTTGGACAGTTGATCCACACAGCAAACAGTTAGTCACTGTCATATCGGACAGCAATCACTCCAAAAACGTCGCGCTTTTCATGTGTTGACGGACCACGGCGTATGTGTGCATACTACGCTTGTGGACAGTCGAATTTGTTCTTGGTGACAGGTTTTAGGCCCCATGAGAAACAACTACAATGCAAAGTGAAAAATAGCTTTATTAAGGGATTCTGGAAGAATTAAACGCAAATGTAAAGTTCAGTGCAATTTCAATTCTGTTTAAGTGGTCCATATCTTTTCTTAGTCCCTAGACGTTTTTGTGACATCCCGTATCATAATATGTAGTGAAAGCAGATTCAGCAAGCTTGGATCAAAACGAATTCAGTTATGGACTTTTCGGAAAACTTACACTTTTACCAGTGTAATTGGTTATAGCTTGGTCTGTAATATCAGCCCCAGTAGTACTTCATGCGATCAATCATCACAGGATCTGGTAATTTGTCAAATGTCCTCATCCAACGCTGACAACTACAAATGTATTTTAAGTTTCTTCGATTTCAAATATCCTAGTGTTGTGCATTCGACATGCACCACGATAAGTTATAAACAAAGGGAATATCGCCAAATCGCGTAAAGTATGCCCGGAGCCTTAATTGCATTGCCTTCAGTTTGGAATTATTCAACAGATTTTACAAGAAAAAGTTAGTTTGCGGAATTGGAATACACTTCTTTTTTAACGACTTTTTCAGTACCAGACAAGCAGTAATCTCGTTTATGCATCTGAAACCACAGATTTTCAACTAGAGATTTACAATTGTTGAAGACACGCATTTTGGCTGGGAAAGCGTATAGAGCTCTACTTAATCGCAAAATCGATGACCAAGTTTCGAATGTATTTTGATATTGTGGTCACATTGTCTTTGTTATTTGCCTATATTGAGCTACGAATCATTTTAGTTGAAAAAAAAACGCCAAGACGATGCGAATCTGAGAATTCATAAGTCTTCCAAATTGCTAAGATGACTTCATCGAGATATAACTTTTATACCCTGAAATTGATTACGATTTGTAAATTACAGAGGCTCAATTACAAGTAAAAGCATTACATTTGTAGGCGGGTGACTGACAGGGGATACTCTAGCGAAATAAAGAATACCATTCATTTATGCTATAAGTCCAAAGGTTCTCGACTGCGTGTCGACATAGAAGAATAAATAATCAGATAATAACTTTTGTAAGCTTTACTAGGTAACGTCAATTGATTGCATAAATGGGTGTGAAGGAGCAAGAGAAGAAGGTAAGTCAAAAGACGCTCTATTTTCTGTGCAAGCCGATATAATCATCAGAAAATTGAAGAAAGGTTTGTAGCAAAAATTTTCTAAGCATTTGATTTTGAGAGCGTGGATGCTCCATGATACTATCCAATTACTCTCATTTCTTTTCTGTCTCACAAGCAAATATGAAAATTTTACAAATTCAACAACTTGAAAATTGCGCCACAGTAACCCTCTATCTTATGTTTGTTCTCAGTTCCATAAAAGGAACATAAAGAACACCTGGTCGGTAAGCTCAAAGTAGTTGTGGTCAGCTCTAAACTATTCGCCGAAAAAACCCCTCGACGCTTATCGTCCACTCGAGAAGTAATCGGATACTGCGCCAACAAGCTGTCATTCTGTGATCAATCTTGTACTTCTTCAGCATCGCGCGCTCCTCGTTGACGCGGTGACTTTGTGTAATTCGATACGTGTCTAAACACACCCAATCTGATTACAGTAATCCGGAAAGTATCGGTGCGCGGGTGTAGGCCCTTCTGAACCTGCCCCGATCGCGACGGCTATAAGAGGTCAGCGCTAATCAGAGGTCACTCCATGATTGGCTAGCTCGCGGGAGCGAGCGGCTGACCTGGGCATACGCGCTGCGGAGACGGACGAGTTTCACATCGTTGGTAACTTACTCCACAATGAGATTCTGGAGGTAATTCTCTAGAAAATTCCTAAATTTCCCAAATTCCCTAAAATTCAATAACCTAAGTTATTCGCTCTACTCCACACTACTTTAATCGCCGGCCACTTTCTAAGGTATTATGTTCTTGATCTATGAGACATTTTCAATGTCTTTTCGACTTATTTTACTGTTTTTTTTTAGTTCGATTGCATGCTTTACTCTCCTACGTCTGCCTCCTTGCAGCATCATCTAGTCACATTCAATTGAAATGTGCACTACATGCGTGCCAGTAGGGAAGCATGCGTTTTTTTTCAATGATGAGTACGAAGTTTCTTTTACACCGTCCATATCAAAAACGCGATCAAATAAAAATGCATTACCTTCATTTGGTAGCATGATCTACATGGATTGATTTTGTGATTTTGGTAGCGACCTTTTCTTTGCTGCACGGATCATGCTTTTTATAGCGTAAAAATTCCAAATGCACGTTCGTAAATTTTATTAGGAATGAGAAATTTAAGGAGATGATAATTTTCTTGGAAAGCTACAGAGCTGCACTGAAATGTAAGGAAATACACATTTGATAGCGAATTAGCGCAGATCACCAATTTAAGTTATAATTGGCCTTTATAAAGAGTTGTTAAACAAACTTTGATTACGTGGGCTTTCCTCAATAACATCAAGCAGCTCACATTAGTAATATGATGTGACCGATGCACGACGTTATAAGGATCGCACACACAAGTGGTATAAGTGGAAAAAAAGCAAAAAAAACAACGTTTGAAATAATTCTAAAGAGATTCATGAGAAGTTTCTTATGAATCATGGAAATGAAAAGACTTCGAAAATGTCCCATAAATCATAAACATACCTGCTGGGAAGTAAGCTCAGAATACCAAACATTCAGAGGATGGTAGCTGTGTTTGGTTGAAATCAGCGTGATTGCCTTGCATTCCATAATGCAAGAGCCGCACGATGGGAGTTGGTGATTTTCGAAAATACGAGCCCTTCGCGGAGCACTCGTCCGCAGTCATCGCAGCGCATGCGCGCGCGTCCTAGTTCTAGATTACTGTAGGGGACGGTGGGTTCAGAAGGGCCGTCTCCCTCGGTGCGCGCTTCTACTGTAAACAGTCGGCTCCTGAAAGGATGACCTTAGCGGGCAGCGTTCTCCGAGTGGAGTTATGGCGCATTTATGATATCAGTGCCTATTAAAATCGTCTATGCAGTTCCCGCACTTAACCGTGGAACGTCACAATGGACTTGCGAGAAACACTAGAGGGTGTTAGCAAGTTTGTAAAAAGACAATTGTTCAACCGTATTGGAAAGAAGTGAAAACACATTGAAAATGATATATTTAAGATGGTAACTCAATGGAAACACAACTCAGAACTAGTCCTTCTTCTCTTAACCATTTATAGAAGATTGTCCAAAAGAAGAATAGAAATATAAAAGATCAGTTTTGTAATTTTCCCAGAATTCTATTATCCAAACTAATCTGGACCCTCTCTTCTTAATGGGGAGCTTCGGAGAGGTAAAAGTTGAAACTCCGTCCAAGGAAACTGACGAAACGGAAACTTATAAAATTTTATATAGATAACAGATGTTTTATATCAGCAGCTTAGAGCTTCTTGCAATTTGAATTAGTTTTGAAAATTTTCATCCCTTGAAGGAAATCAGAACAAGTGTTACAACTCTTTTACTATGCTGTCTGTGTAATCTCTCTACAAGATGAGAATTCAAGTTTGTAGACTTTCTTCTACGTATGAACATGAGGAGCGGATTTGACATCTTCTAGAACTGTACTAGCCTTCACTCTTTCCTTTTCTCTCATGCATAATTTCACACGATCAATGCTAGGCTTAGTGTATGTTAGGAAGAAGCACTGTCATCTGATTATTCAGGCTGAGCATAGATGATTGGTCAGCTGGTATAGACAATGCGAGGTAGTGCGAATTTCTTGACTACGATCTCTGATAATTGGCAGCCCCAGAGATTTCTATGGCGTGGGGTGCAACAGAATTTTTTTCGCGAAGGTGAGTAAACAGCCACTTATAATCTGATTTTTGAAAGGAGGCGTGGCGACAAACCGCTTACAAAAATTTTTTTCCGAATGAAAAAACTACTCCAAAACCTCACAAATAGGGCCTTTCCGCAGACAATTCTTTAGAAATAAGTGCGGTGCAGATAAGGCAGCTTCGGACTTATCTGACAATATATAAGGTGATTATAATAAAAATAGACTTATCTGTAGGACGAACTTGACTTAGACGGGTATACCTAGGAGACCAAAGGCGGTCCTATATGTCAGATTTAGAGATAAATTTCGAGAGAATTTTTGTTTCAGAAATAAGTCACTTGCGCTTCACTTCACCTCATCTGAACCAGCCCTTCTCCTCTTCCAACTTCACGTCTTCATTCAGCCACTGCTTGTGGCGAAGGGAACTCTTGTATTTGTAAGCCAGATGTGAAAATCTCTCGATTGGAGCTGGCCACATGGCCGAAAACCGTGGAAGAATCTGTAGTTCCGTGAAAGCCATATGATTTCTGTTTGTTCTTTCTATGTCAAACTTTTATATTGAATTTGCTCGTTGGAATCATTCGTGTTCTTCAGTGATGGGAGAAAGAATAAGCTCAGAAACAGGAAAGACAGTTAGAGAGTAACTATTAGGATTTTGAAACTCGTCGACAGATTGCACTTTGTCACGCATATCTTCATAGTCCAATTTCTTTCGATAAGCCAACCATTATAGCTCCAATCACTGATACTGCGAAGGCAATGCTAAATACTGTAATGCTGCGATGACCCTAAAATCTTATTTATCAGTGTAGAATAAATGACACTCAAATTCTCACTCGATTTCCTTGAAATAGACTATACCCCAAACAGAAGCAATGCAGCTCGGCAAAGCAGTAATGATAGGGAAAGAGATTGCTTGAGAAAGATGTTTACAGCTACGAAGAACGGTGATTGAGCTATGGCCCATGACAAGCCGGATAAGAACGATGGCAGAACGATTTCTGCATGAACGTATGCTGCTTTACCCCTAGAATATTTACTCTGGTTTCAGCTGGCAATTTTGTAAGAAAGCATCTTACCTCTTGACTGCATAGGCTATGAATATAGCGTTAGCGGTAAGAAAAATACCAAAGAAATGTGAAAACTCATAAGCAAGCGCTTCGTTTGGATGATTTGGATACTTGTCAGGATTATCGAGCATGTAAACTACGGGTACGAATGTAAGACCGTAGAAGATACCAGCATATAATTCTGCTACGCCAAAACATCTGAAGAAGAATAAGTTCGTCAGATGTTTGTTACTGGATAACGAGTGTTTGTGAAAATATTTACATTGCTTTTTCTTTTGTCCCATAAACTTGATCACTTTGGCTTATGTTCTCCACAGCTGGAGAAACTGACCCGGTCGTTATGTTATTCCACTTTCTTTCTCAAAAATCAAATTTATGATGATTTCACCATACAATATGATAAAAAAAACTGAGACTTGCCAAGTCCCTGCTCTGCTCACATTTCGATAGTTGCTGTCGGGATTTCCCGATTTTTACAAGTGAGAAAATAATACATCTAAAATAGTATCGATGAGGAGCAATTTGATGAGGACTCAGAAAATGTCTGGATTTGATAGTATAAATTGTGTGCAGGTCAGGTACTCCTACCCACAACACTTATGAATTATGCAAGTAGTCAGCTCATTGTTATTAGGGTGTCTCATAATTATTTACCGTTTTTACCTTAGAAATCAGCATTTCTCGAGAACTGAGACACCTTCAGCATTTTCAAGTACATGTCGTACTTCTGTGTGTATGAACTATTATCACGTGTGTGGGAGGAGCTCAGTACTTCTATTGGCCGAGTTTGCCATTTTACTCTATTCAATTTTTTCTTTATTTCTAGCCATGGAGAAAATACGAAAATTGTACACTCGAATGCGCGATGTGTCAAGCACATGCCAGAATAAATTTTGAATTTTTTAGATACTTTGGGGCGGAGATACGATTTTTGACAGAAAAGTTCGTTTTCGACTACTATCAGATTTCAGCTCAAAACTTTACGAGGGTTACAATTTGGGCAGACTTTTGATAGTCATCTTGTAGAGCATGCTTTGCCCTGTCGAATGATTACTCAAGCCAGATCAGATGAAGGAGAGATACAAAAAGACGACAGTCGAAGTAAAAACGGTAAATAATTATGGGACAACCTAATAGTTTCTTGTCCGGATACAAAAATTCAAAGGCGCTTTTGGAAAGATAGGCTTCACACAACCAATTTTTATATGTTCTTCTTGGTTTAACTTTTATGACTGTGCAGTACACATGAGGCATTCGAACATAGTAAAAACAGCTTTTGATTTTAGTTAGATTGGGCTAGCTATAGCTAAATGGAAAAAATTCGCAAATTTTGTATGGTGCCCTTCCAAGATTTTTGGATTAGATGTAATGCATTTGAAAATATTAGGGTGTCCCATAATTTTTTACCGTTTTTACTACAACCGTCGTCTCTGTGCATTTTTCCTTCAATTGATGCAACTTGAGTAATCATTCTACAGGGCAAAGCAGACTCTACAAGAAGGCTGTCAAAAGTCTGCCCAAATCGTATTCCACATAAAGTTTTGGGCTAATATAGCAGTCGTAAACAAACTTTTCCTTAAAAAATCGCATCTACGCCCCAAAATGTTTTGAAAATTTCCCACTCATACATAGCGTAATACATCGCACATTCAATTGCACAATTTTCGTGTTTCTTCCATGGCTAGAAATAAAGAAAAAATGAATGGAGCAAAATGGCAAGCTCCGCCCCTAGAATCCTGAGCTCTTCCCTCTTCCCTCGCACATGATTGTATAGCTCATATATAAGAACTACGACCATGTAATTAAACTTTGAAGGTGTCCTAGTTCTCGAGTAATGCTGATGTTTAGGGTAAAAATGCGAAAAAATTGTGGGACACCCTAATAGTTGTCAAAATCACAAACTAATCTACTTTCGGCCACAATTAGTGAGAAAAATGAACACACCTCAGAAAGGGCTTTGCTCACACTCGATGTTCTCAAACGCCATGAAAAGCAATAATGCAAGTTTTAACATTGATAATCGCTGCTCGAAAATCAATAGCTATCCTTTTCACGATGTATAATGCAGAGTCATGCTTGTGATACAATCGCTCACATTTTTTGAAAAAAAGACGCGAATGTTGCATCATGTATGAACATCACCGTCGCGTGGCCATATCTCGCTTCAGAGTGGACGAATTCTGCATCTAAAGGCATCATGCGACTCTTTGCTTACGGTAGGTTGCTCTGGGTGCAATGAATTAGCACACTGAGTATCGTAGGCAAAAATCTGAAACGATTCGTGGAATCTGACCTCCTACTGTGTACAAGTGGACACTTCGATATATCACAAGATGCGCCGCGCCGAGCTGAGTCGCATGATGGCTTTAGATGCAGAATTCGTCCACTCTGAAGCGAGATATGGCCACGCTACGGTGATGTTCATACATGATGCAACATTCGCGTCTTCTTTTCAAAAAATGTGAGCGGTATTGTACTTGCATAATAGTCACTGCAGTTCGAGTTTCTAGACTGGAGCTATAAGTGCTCGCAAAATTTGTGAATTCCCAAATTTTCTCTGGAGGATTGACCTAATGCCATACTCTGAGAAGACTCAGACAATCGACCGGATCCCTCCGCCGGACAGTCGGAATCTGCCAGAGTCGCGCCGGACCCAGTTGACCAATGAGAGCGGGGCAAATGGGCGGTCCCTTCTTGTAGTCGCGGTGACATCACTGGCAGGCAAATGGGACGCTTCTCCGGCCCTGCTGCAAAGGTACGCCATTTCTGCTCCGGAGGTACGCCAGATTTGGCAGAGCCGCGCCGGAGAAATTTGCCCGCCGCGAGTCCGCCAGATTTGGAAGAGCCGCGCCGCAGAAAATCGGAGGGGTCCGGAGCACAAATGGGAGGTCTCCGGAGCAGATGGGAGGTATCCGGAGCAGAAAATGGGAGGTATCCGGAGCAGAAAATGGGAGGTATCCGGAGCAGAAAATGGGATCTCCGGAGCAGAAAATGGGAGGTCTCCGGAGCAGAAATGGGAGGTCTCCGGAGCAGAAATGGGAGGGCTCCGGCGGACGAGTGGCAGACCCACCGCTGGGGAACCCCGCGGCCCTGCCATTTCTCCGGCGGAGGGGTCCTATCCGCTGTCTGAGGAATTTCTTCCTTCCGCGCGGGAAAAGTTTCTGCTATCACCACTACTAATCCGTTAACATCGATTTATCTACAAGTTAAGAATATCTTCATATTCACGTTAGGTGTGAACTATTTTTGCAATTTTAATGGACCTTAAAATTACGAATGCAGGTCCTGCGTAGTTGAGAATCTCGCTAGCTGGGATTGTAAGCTTCATACCAAACAAGACAAACCTGCAAAAGAAAACTTTTTTACCAAACGAAAAGTGTAGCATCTGCCGTCCTGTGAACCATCCCGTGATGCATTTTGAACTAATCCAAATTAGAGGACCTACGGATACTCCTACGCGATGCATTACAGGCGCTGCAGGTGCGTTTCCTAGATTATCTTATACTAGTTGGCTTACCCGGCTCCGCCGTATCCGGACCAAACTTGGTACACATACACTTCGGGCCCCGGCGGGTGTCACAGTCCACTTTTCGTTATCGATCGATGCCGATTTTACCGATTTTTATCGATTTTTTTGCAGAGTTCACCTACGGGGCTGGGAGTTGGCACAGGGGGGTAATCGAGCATGGGGATTACGATTACAATATTAGTTTTTGAAATCGTCCATTATTTTTTTATAGATTTTATCGATTTTTACTAACCACTTGACCAACTCTGCTCTTATCTTCAAAGTGATGGATGGTGAAATTACTACTGATAGGTTATGAAATCCAGATATGTGCTGATATACAAGAGCGGAGAATTCTGAACAGGTACTCCCAGTTAGTCAACAAAGCACTTTATTCAAAACATTTGAGTTTCGAAAAATGCTGCAAATTCGTTTTCAAGTTGTTGCACTTCTCAAAGTAGAATGACTCCACCAGGGCAAATCCGTCTGCCATTGATTATGACGCATCGATACACGGCTTGGACATAGCATATCTGCAAATATTGCCAGTTTACATAGTAAATCTCAGTAACAAGAGTTGACACCTACCAGTAGGATCACAACGAAGAGCATGAAATATACTTGGACGGACTTCTGCATACCTACTGCAAAAACCTGTTACGTCCAAGTGATAAGTTCATTCAACTCATTATCTCGTAAGATCCAAGATTTGATGTGAATATTAAATTGTACACATCAAACATGAGATTCTACTAGTGAGTTTCGAAAAAAAGAGTGTGAGCCCCTACAATCGGCTAAATTGATTAGCATGAACGAAGTCGTTGTCCGGGTGCTCTTGCAGGAAATGTATTTAGCACATACATAAACAGGCTGTTTAAGGACTATTTCCTCTGTCAACATTTTCCTTCTTGATTTTCCGTGCAGAATTAGGAGAATTGTGTTATGCAGACAATTCGCTGCTCAGTTGTTTGGAAAAGGGCACGGTCAAAGTGAATAGTGTTTACTCGACGAAGTTACACATTCCACGGTTACACAGAATGAAAAACGCATTGCTAATCCACATTTGTTTTAAGCTGTGCTTTCTATGGTCACGATTAGACAGAAAATTGGAACAAAGAAATTCGAAAGGAAAATGTCTAAGACTGCGTCAAACTATAGAAAGTGAACCTCTTTTCTTGTAAGAGTCTCCGCAAACCTGACTTGAAATGCAGCCTAAGCTGCACTGTTAGAACTTGTGGGTTCGAAATTTGTACAATCATAAATTCAAAGGGCAAGCCCCCTCCCTCGGTACGCAGTGCGTACCGAGGGGGGGGAGAGGCCGAGGTGGGCCGAGGTACCTCCTCCCCCCCCCCCCCCCCGAGAATGGGTCGCGAAATTTTTGAAGATTACTTATATGAGTTATAAAAATGTGCAAGCGACTTATTTATACTTGTAAATAATTGATGTAATTTTGGAAATGGCAATTTAACCCTATAAAAAATATTTTCTCGGGGACGTGGCTGCCGCCTCGCCCCTTTTCTGGAATTTGGGGGTTATGTGCCAGCGAAAATCTCAGGAAGTGCCAGTTGATCTCAGGATGTGCCAGTTGAAGCAGAAAGCTGGGCCACTGGCTGTAAAGTACGG